TTTTTTTTTTCCGGGGCCGGGGGTGCCGACCACTGACCCCCGGGACCCCCGCCGGGGCCCCGGGCCCGGGGGTCGACAACCCTGGTGGTCGCCACTCCTGCCTACTCGAGTTCCCTAGTCTCGATAATCCAATCGTGCTTGATTACACTGAGCCATTGTTGAAACCAATGATTGGGCGTCGGTCCAAACTCATCTTCCCATGTGAAGGCTCGTTCGCGTGGCTGATGCATCGGGGGTCGCCTCTCTTCTTTGGGCCTTGAGATCTCATCCCTTTCGTCGCCACTGCTAATCTCGATGACCTCTTGCGCCTCTTCCTCCTCGTCCACATTCTCTTCCGTTCGCACCGGGCTGAACTCACCCATGAAATTCCTTGGGTCCAGATTGTAAGGGATTTCTTTCCTCCTCCCATATCCCTCCTCGAAGTCCGGGTATCTCCCATCACAACTGTCATGGCCACTCCGCTCTCCAAGCGGGCTCTCCCTTCTCTCTTTCCCATCCTCGCATCCATCGCACATGTCCTGACTTCCCTCGTTCTCCCCATGCCAAGGCTCATGCTGCTCGCACTTTTCGGCCCTTCCTTCGGCAGAGGCCCGAATCTTTTCTCCTTCTGCTCTGCCCCTTTCTCCCACACTCACCCTTTCTTCCTCACTCTCACTTCCGGATGAGATATATATACCCTCTCCCTTCCGAAGGGGCGAAGGCCCTCTACACACGCGGTTTCTCGCTCCCCTGCCTACCACTTGTTTGGACATATACCCTATGTACAATTTTCTCTTGGCAGTCCTCCGCTCTCGACTTGGTCCCGCTCCTCCCCCTTCGCTAGGCCTGTTGATTGCCCCGCTGTCATTCTCGTTGCCAAATTCCATTTTTGCTTTTGTAAGGTTTCTTCCCTGATCCTGTATAACAAAACAACACCCGCCAAGCCCCTTGTACACACGTCCCCCCAGTTCGGTAGGCAATACCCCTTCCCTCAGAATGCTCCCAGTACCCTTCGCATCAGGCCACTATTATACATTCCCCTTTCATGCAAATGCCACATTTGTAATGATCCCATTATTTTCCCATCAAGAACTATGATACAATGCTCCCAACAACCTTTCCCATCGTCACATAAAACCCGTTATCACAAAGTCCCAGGACATTCGCCTTCCAACCTCAGTCAGTCCAAACCATTGCCCCATCCTAAAAAAATGACAGTCCCACATACGCCGTCAGAGACAAACCCATAGTGTGGGCAAGGCCACTGTCAGTCGTTAGCTTGTAGCCCCTCAATTTCCTTATCCTCGGCCTCCTGAAGCCACTGTTCCACTAGATCCCGACTTAGAAACATGACCAACCATTGCCCTGGGAAGGGTCCTTTCAATCAAGTTTTATCCAAATCTTCCAAATCAAAGGTGTTCAGTCCCACCCGCTTGGCGACCCGGTAGGGGCCTTCAAACCTCCTCCCCAGTTGCCCCGACCAAGTACTTTCTAGTGCCGAGTTTCTTAGCAATACCGTCTCCCCCACCTGAAGTGGCTCCTTTCAGATATTCTTAACCTGGTCCCACCTTGCTTTTTCCCTCATTTTGCTGTCTAGTACCCGATTGGCGATGTCTTCCATGACCTCTTCGTTCCTAAGGACCTGTTGATATCTTGCCTCAATTAATTCTTCCGTGGTCATACGCGGATCGTCATCTAACCTGTTCCAGGTACGTATCAAGGCTTCCACGAGAAAATCGATCTCTCTTCCGTACCAAAGTTCCGTTGGGATGCATCCCGTTGTCCTCTTAGGTGTCATGTTGTCCGAGAAGACAGTCTGCTTAAGATACCTAGGCCAGCTCCCCAGATGGTCCGCCGCAAATCTCAATTGAGTTCTTTAAGGTCCGGTGCCCTCTTTCCACAGGTGCATTGGCCTCCGCGTGATACGCCTCGATGAGTTTGATCGGTACGCAGAGCCTTTTAAGCATTCCCAACACTTCTTGGTTCACAAATTATGTTCCATTGTCTTCTATAAACCTCCTGATGAAGGGATGTCTCAGATAGAAGTCCTCTATCCAATTTGCTACGCTTTTCCCCGTCTTTTTCTTGAGAGCGACCGCCTCCACGAACCCACTCAGGTTGTCCCGCGCATCCACGATATATTTGTACCCATCCGTTGATACAGGCATAACTACAAGGTCAAGGTGGACCAGATGTCCCGGCCCCAGCACCCATGTTGGTCTAAGCGACTTGAAGACGCGTGTCGAGCTCCGCTCCTGACAGATCAGACAGGTCTGACAATATGTGGCGACCATTCCCACCATGCCCAACCAATAATAGAGAGGCGTTATCTTAGCAAGAGTCCCTTTGGATGATCGGTGTCCCCCTGCCAGTCCGTCGTGCAATGCCTGGATCACGTCCAGCTGCCTAGATCTTCCGCACACAACTCTTCTAGGCATAACACCTTCCTCCCTTCTGAACAGATGGCCGACCCTTAGGACGTACCTCTCGGCCTCCTCCCTCGCTTTAAGGCTGACTTCCATGTGTTGCTTGTTTCCTACCAGCAACAATCCAATCTCTCAAAAAATCCCTTCGTATATCTGAACATAGAAGAACTTCATCCCTTTCTGATCCTTGTCCTTTCTCTCCTGCATCTGGTTTATTATCAGCTGCAACTCTTTTCGTTCCCAAGACTCCACTAGACTCATCACGGCTTCCCGGCCTCCCTCAACGGCCATTGCTATCAATTCCTCCTTTGGTCCTACTATTGCTTCCCATGAGTCCCTCTCCTCCTTGCGTCCCCGAGTAGTGACTGGACCTTCCCTAAGCTCTGCCACTATGGCAGGTGCCCCTTTCTCCAAAGTCTGAATCAACAATTCTCCCCACGCGCATCCTTCGCTCATCATTTCGTTGTCTACAGCAAGGGTCCCTCCTTCGTGTTCAAGGAACGCGTCTATGGGCTCCGCACCTTCCACCCCTTCAGGCGTGCTGCAGACCCGACTTAGCCCATCGGCCTTGTTTCTGATTCCAGCAATTCGTTCGATCTTGTAATCGAACTGTCAGATGAATCTTACCCATCTCCCCACCGCCGGGTCTATAGGCTTGTAATTCTTTAGAGCCCCCGCGACATTCGTCGGATCGATCGTGAGGATGAACCACCTCCCGAATAGGTAGGCTTGGATGGTCTTGAGGCAATGCAGAATGGCTAGGACCTCCTTCTTGAACTGCGAGTATCATTGTTCTGCTGAGTTCAGGGTTCTACTTTCGAACCTAATTGGTCTCTCCTTACCTCCCTCATCCTTTTGAATCAGTACACCTCCTACGGCCAGAGGTCCTCTGTCTGTCTCCAGGATAAACAACCATCCAACCTCGTCGTTAAAACACGGCGCAGCTAGAGTGACTTATTCCGATGTTAGTATGTCCTTGAGGGTCCGGACGGCTCCTTATCGCTCCTCCGTCCAATCCATGGTTCCTTCTTCTCTGATCATGGCCCGGATAGGCTCAGCAATCCTGGCAAAATTTTAAATAAAAATCCTCCAAAAGCCGACCACGCCTAAGAATGCTCCTACTTCCGTTGTTGTGCGCAGGGGCGTTGACCACTGCGATATTTTGTCGGTCTTCGCTGGGTCCGGCCTTCTTCCATACACGCCACAGCGGAATCCTAGTATGGGCACTTCCGGTACTGCCAGAATACTCTTAGGCCCGCTAGCCCTGATGTTGTATACCAAAAATTGGCGGAGCAAGTCCTTGATATCCTGTAGGTTATCCCACACAAATTTTTGAATTCTTGGCTGGATTTCGGCCTCATCCTTGTCTTGAGCGCCTTTGATCAGGTTGTCGTCGATGTAGGGCTCACACTTCTCTGGAAACATGTCTCCGGCTACAGCGAGCATCCTTCTTAGCGCTTCGGCTACCGCGCTCGTAAAACCCATAGGGGTCACCTGCATCTGCAACTGGCCTACCGCATTCAACTTTTGCAAGTCTTGAATCCACCTCAGCGTCTTGTTGGGTTTCCGACAGACGAACCACCTATTTGCATACGGTGACGCGGTAGGCTCTGCAACGAAGGAGTCCATTTTTGCTCGAAGAATATCTGTTACTTCTCCTGCTATCCCGAATTCATAGGACTGACCCTTGTCATTCCAGCACTCATGCTCTACCATGTGGATTCTGACCAAGGGAATTAGCTTTGCGTCTAACCGCCCTTTTTTGTGATCACTAAAGGTAAATGCCAGATGAAACTTTTGGCACGTCCTTTTGATCAGGAGGGTTTCTTCTTCCGTTAAGAATCCCTCTATTCCTATCTTCATTGTATCGACTACCTCATCTGGTATCCGATGGCCTTCTGTCGCTCGCCTCTCTCGGATCACTCGAAGGACTTCTTCCTCCCTTTCCATGGCCTCTTCCTTGGATGTCTCTAGCAGGATCGAGACTGGCTTTGCTTTCTTCCCTACTGGCTTGTACTTTTAAACACTTCCTTCCGGGATCTTTCTCCTAAAAAATGAACGGCCGAGATTACTCATGTTGCCTTCCCGACCTGTGGTTGAATATTGACTATTTTCAGACAATACCCCTTCTGTACTTCTCCTTCAAATTTGGCCAGCGCCGCCGGGTCCACCCCTACTTTGTGATACCTGATAGCTTTCATAAGCTGCAATAAGTCGGGGATCTCGAGTGCGATTTCCGGTACCTCCTTCCGCACCTCTTTCTGCCTGGGCAGGCTGGCTCCGAGTTCGACTCCTGATTCCCTTTCCGCCACCATAACACCTAAGACTTCGTCCTCCTGTCTTCTCTTCTTTTGGGGCAGGCCCATCTTGATCCATACTTTCTTATTGAATGCCTCCTCAATCATAATCTCTACCCTTTCTCTCATACCTTCCATTCGTGCAAAAACCCCCTTTTGTGCGCTATCTTTGAACGACGGCAACCACGTTGCTAACTTCTCCTTCGGAGGGTCTCCTCCCGTCCCAAGGAGTCAGAGAAGCTCCCCCCGACCGGTCACTGGGTCCTCTATATCTACCATGTACGTGCCATCGTGCAAGTGCATGCCTATCCTTTCTACGTTGGCGCACCATGGTCTCACGAGGATTATGTCGTGGTCCATTTCCTCCATTACGGTCATCCGCTGGAACGACCAGATCGACTGCCCAAGTCCTGCCTTGACCGCACATTTCGTGACATACCCAGCGAATGAAATTTCCCCACCGGCTTCCCAGATGCTCCCTATTGCTTCCTTATTTACCGTAAAGCCCGTGATCGTTGCAAAGTCTCTTCTTATGAGAGTGATTTCCGCTCCCCCGTCTACTAATGCGTCGGTATGATGAGTCCCGATCTGGACTTTCAACTTTCCTACCGGGAGTGCGTGGAAGCTAAGCTTCGTTCCGGGTGGTGCCCTCATGACCTTGCCACCTTCTCGGTCCGGCAAGTTCAGGCAGATGTCTGCAAAGGCCTCCTCTAGATCCTCCAAATCCCCGGGACTCCTTTGAAGATTAGCGACCTCTTGCGGAACTTCCTCCTCCCTTTCCTCTTCTTGCGGTTCCGGATTTTCGTCTATCTCTACTCGTCGGCGAGTCAACAGTTGCCTAAGCCCTTTGAGCAGTCTGGGGCTGGCTTGCAACATGGTCTGAAACGATACTGTTACCATGGTTCCTAGCAGTTTGCTAAGGGTGTCGTCCATCTCAAGCATGGTTAGGATCGGGATCTGATACCTAAACTTTTTCTTGGTTGCGGTGACCTTGTCCGTAGGCTCCTCCTCCCTAGGTTTCCTGTAAACTTTCTCTGGTTCCCCAGTTTCGGGCTCTGCTTGGGCTGCGGTCCCTTCAGCGGCTTCCTCCATCACAGCGTCACGAATAATCCTTCTTTCAGCCAATCCTGACCGAGTAGTCGCGTTCACCCTATCGCGTCCATCGCTTTCTAGGATGAAGTTGACCTGCGCTCCGCGCCCTCGAAGTTGGTCCCAGACGATATCGGCCACTGGTTCAGCCTCTACCACGACTATCTCTAACCCATTGAGAATGATAACAGCGCGCCGCATTCCCCCGGTGAGTTCCAGTTCACCAGTTCTCCCTGTGGTCCGAATATCTCCCCTTTTAATGACCTGGTACATCTCCTTTTAATATATTGTGGTTGAGCTTTGGACATGCGCGCACAAAGTGTCCCACCACGGTACAGTACCTGCATTGCTCATTAGCCGGATCTCTTCGTCCGAACCCCCGGTTGGCTACACCTGCCGGGACTACGACTTCTTGGGGAGGGAGGGCGGCTCGGGATACTTGCCCCTGCATAACCATCAACGCATTCTCCACCCTCTCTATCTTCTTGTCGACCCCGTGCACACGTTCATGTAGACTTCCAATCCCCCTTTTTCCCTTGTCACCTGTCCGGCCGGTCAAATCTATGACCTCCCCTTCTTTAAGCACGCCAGTGTTTCGGTCACTATTGTTTTCCCCCGTTACCGTACTGAAATCCACATCCCTGGTGTTTACAAACTTGCTCGTCCGTTGGTAGGCCGACAGAATCTTGTCCTTGTCGAACTCGGAAAACTGCCTAAGGAAATACTTGCTCATTATTCGGTCCATTACTCCGGGGATCCTTAGTGCTACCAGGGTAAACTCTCGCAGGAAGTCATTGTACGTTGCAAAGTTCTTCCTTTGCACTGCTGCTAAATCTGCCTCTGTTGCCATTTTTTCCGCCGCCAGGTACTTTCTCATCATTACATCCCGGGTCTCCTTCCAAGACCAGCTCGCGGCCACAATGGTAATTATGTCTCGTCCCAGGCTCAACGACACATGCTGTCCTAGGTGGTCCATCTTCTCCTCTTCACTCCATTTTAACAGTGCGGTCAGGTTCTCGTAATCTATTAGGAACTCCGTAATGTCTGCCCCGTCAAATGTCAACTTCTTCTTAGCGTCCGCGAGGTAGCCTTGATTTTTGTTTAGTGCCCGCGTGAGGGATGACACCATCTTCCTAAGGCCACCCTCGGAGCTACTGCCTCGCCCGCCGTACTGGTATCCTGCCCTTCCTTGTCGGCCCTCTGCCCTTCTCTAGTCTTTGCAGTCCCTTCCGGGTCGAACCACCCCAACACCCTTTCCCTAAGGCTCCAGAGCCCTTCACACCCCCGCATTACTGCTGCCGTGGCCGGCAGGCGGCTAGCCCTGCTATCTATGGGTGGCGGATTTGTAGCTTTCACCGCTTCCATCCCTGGGGAGCTCTCTCTCTCCTTCCTCCTCTTGCTTGGTGTCCCTCCGCGATCACTATCCTTACCCCCTATCTACTTCCGCCTCGGCCGAACTTTCCTTTCGTCCCTCGGTTCTTCCTAGGGGGGTCTTCCTCGTACGGTCCTCTTTTCTATTTTCGCTAGTTTGCGCCTCGCATCCGTGACTCTCACTTTCTTAGACACAGCTCCATCTGAATTCCGGGGGCTTCCCCGTCCATATTTCTACCCCCCCGGTCTCCTGAGTCCCTTGCTTGCTTCCCCCGGCTTTGCCCGAGCTTTCTCCAAGGAGATCTCTTTCCTGTTCCCCTTGGCACCATCCGGATTTATCGATTCTCTATCTTTCTGACCCTCTTCGCTTTGTACGACACTGCCTTCTAAGCCCGGTCCTCCCTCGCTCTTACGATTATCTGTCTCTTCTTCCGTCGCCATTTTGCCTAGTTCTCCATAAACCAGAGGATTCCCAAGACAAGCAGCTCGAGGCATTTTAGGTTTCATACGCTCTAGTCCCTTTCCTTATTTTACTTTATTCAAAAACTAGCCCCCTCCCCATTTTCGTCCTCTGATTGATCCCCTAAGAAGGAGCCGCGGCCGGCCCTGCTGCCTTACCAACCTAAGGAACGTAACTTAGTTCCCCTTGTGACAGACTCGTTTAGGGTGCCCCAGTCTTTCCGTGCCGACGTGTAGGAGTTCTGGTTGGGCATCCCGTTAGGAAAGAGGTCCGAGCAGTATTCCCTTTTCCACTTCTAGGGTCATGGCAATCATTATAAGTCTACCCCTCCCCTTATCCCGTAGCGGGTTTTCGATAGTCCGGGTCTGATGGTCCTTCCTTATTTCCATCGGTGAGCCCTTATGTGTAATGGAATATACTTTATTTGCCCTACCGGCTTGCCTCTGAGTGCTAGTCTTGCTCCCGTCCTCGCGGCCCTTCCAGTTCGGTAGGCTCCTCGAATAGTTGAGCCACCCCCGCCAGATAACTCTCTCCTATCTCAATTTTCGTCCGAATTATGTGCTCGTATTCCGCACAGGCTAACCGTGGCAACCCAAATATCAGGATCTTGATAACCTCCAACAATTCCTGCGCTCGGTTTCCCCAGAACGGCCCATGTTCTACGGCGACATCATAGAACATCCCGATGGTTTGGGGTGGGAAGTGGTCTATCCAGACTATTGCCAAGTCTGCCAGATCCTGCGCCCTTGCGAGGCTGCCGAAGATGAGGCCTATCATGAATCGGGGGACCCGACATCTCAGCGGGGTTGCAGGTGCCCTGAATTCCCTCCAGCCCCCCATTTCCACCCTGGTTCGTAAGCCCACGTTCCTTCTACCCCTGATCAATTAGCCTATCCGCGTCAATGCCTGAGAGGCCCTTCGAAAGACTAGGGCCAACTCAAGACCTTGTGCTATTCCTACCCTCAGCGAGTGTTAGCCGATCTCGGGTAGATACAAGTCCCGGTTGCTTCTAAATTGGAAAACAAATCATCCCCAGGCCCTCGGTTGAATCTCATTCCCGTCCACCAACATTCCACCATCATGAAGGCGCTATCTCTTCCCAAGGTCACGGCCCGCCATTCCACGTCGAATCCCCGAAACTCAAAACTTGACGGAAGGGACACTTCCCACCGCCTGCTGTTGTTCCAGGGCAGCCCGGGGTACCGAGGCTAGCGTACCATTCGAACATGTCTTGCTGCCATCGCTGTTTTGGTGATTTCCTGCATAGCCCACACAGAGAGGATTATGGCCCGTTCTTCAGCACTGCCCGTCCTTCTACCGTTTTCCTTCCCGCTTATGCCCCTGCTAAATTAATGTACATGCCCCTATCTTTTGTTTCCCCATAGTTTACATGCACCCACCATACTTCGATCTCCCCACGACGTCCGATTTCCCGGTCCTTTTAATCGAACCACAATACTTCGAACATTTTAAAAACGTCATCTACGTAGGATGGAGCGGCCGCCACCTCCCGGCTAACTATGGCGTCCCAGGTTGTCGCGTCTACCTCTAAGCAGTCATACTTACCTATTCTCAGCACGGTGAGAATTTCCCAGGCTTTATCACCGTAGAAGGGTCCGTATTTCAACGAGGTCTTATAAAATTCCTCAGTCAGCTAGGCACACTCTATGCGCGTTTCTTTCATGGAGTCAGCCACTTCTAAGATGTGGTCGAAACCCCCAAACCACTCGGCCACGAACTCAGGCACCCAAGCCGTTATTCGCAGGCTGGGAGACTTGAGTTCCTTCCATCCTCCCATCACAACTTTACTACTAACTTTGTCTCATCCTTCATTGGCGAACCTTTTGCCCTCCCTTTGGGTTCGCGCCTCTGCGTCCCCCAGAAGCCACATCGGATCCTGTCTCGTTGCTATCATAGTGCAAAATAGGCGACACCCGTCTTCGGAAAGAACGACCGTTCCGACCGATTCCACTTTGTCTTCCGCTATCTCATCCCAACCTTGCTCTTCCCTTATTGGCTTCCAAATCCGCTCTACCCATACGTATGATAGTCCCGGGGCAACCTCAAACCCGACCCAGTCGCATGGGGTTCCTCTCCATTCGTTTTCTGCTGGTAAAGGCATTTCTATTCCCCCCTTGAGTCGCCTTGGTTCCCATCCCTTGAAAGTGCAGTCCATCAGCAATTCCTCTCTAGTCATTTTTTTCTTCCTGCACAATGCCAGGCTACTCGGTTTCCCTAAGTAAGTCACCCGCCTTCGAAGTCCCAGTCCTCTATCTCATCCCCTTCATCCTCGTCACTGAAGTCGTCCTCTTTGTTGTAGAACAAATCCTTCACACCTTCTAGGAACGTCTCCCCTACTGCCACATTTCTGTAGACTATCCCCCAATGCACAGAGCTAGGGACAAAGACGTTATCTATGCTAAGGCAGTTTAGCATCTCGGCCAGCTCCTCCACCCAATTCCCTCCAAACGGCCCCATTTCTACCGACAACTGGAAGAAGTCCTGCATGGCACATTGGTATAGTTTGAGGGTTGTCATGGACTGGCATATCTGTACAAGCCTGCTCCGCGTTCCGAAGACCGCATCCACCAGAAACGAAGGCAGCACACATCGCATTGTTCTGACGAATCGCCTCACGCTTCCTCTATCCCCGAGTTCCACTCGCACATCTACCCTTTCCATTTCCATTTCCGCCCGCTGACATGCAGCCCATACAACCTCCCTCTCTGCCTTCCTAAACAATTCGTCCGGCGTAGTCCCTAGCACCAACTCTGTAACCATAGTGTTCTCCCCCTCTTGCGACACGTAGACCCACCCCCGGGCTTCCATCGTCCCTCGGAACTCCAAATCCATTAGGCTCGGCGACAACCTTGTCAAGCTGACGTTAGTCCATACTGTTTCTATCCAAAGGAACGTGTCCTCCTCTTCCAGCATCACAGTTCGATATGCTGGCTCAAGATCTGTCCACGTCCCATCTTCCGAGCGGACGACCGATACCCCATCCTTTACATCTACCGAGACTACCGGCATTTCCGGACCGCTGGTATGGATCGGGGATGACAGCCACCGCACCATCTTGTTTCCAGCACCCGACCCCTGTTTCCATAAGAGAGTACCGAACGGCCCTTCGGGTCAGGTCAACCTACGTCCTAGATGAGAATTATTTAAGACCCCTCATCAAGGTCTCCCTAGTTTACCTCCCCATTCCTAAGTACCACCTTCCCATAGTACCCTCGGTCGGCCATCCACTTCCCAACATTCTTTCTCTTGGTTCCATTCCGATTGACCTCTATCCTCCTTCCTTCCAATCATCTCTCACTCATGTAGACTCAGATAGGGAGGTGAGAATAGACTAGAGTCATACCCCATTCAACAGTTCAGCCTCAATCAATCTTTACAGGGGGGCAATACGACAAAAAAAATCAGGCATCTCACATGCGGGCCGGTCATTTCCTCACCGGCCTATCCCAATATGGTCTCTCCGCTGGTACTATCGGCAGAGTTTCATCCCAAACCTCAAGCGCAGCTCAACCGTCGCAAGCGCGGTACCCAGGCTCCGGCTCAGGGTGTTACCCCTCTCCATTTGCCCAAAATACCCCAATCCCGTTTTGCCGCTCTTGCATACCCTCGTTGGTACCGGGAATCACCCCGCGCGCCCCGTTAGGAGCAATAGTCAGTCGTCCGGGCATTCACTTCCATCGGTCCGACAAGAATCAGCCTTTCCCAAACCGTACTACGGGAAGTTACTAATCGCCTCTGAGGCTCCCTCCTTGCCCTGCATGCAGTGGTCTTCCCCCGCCAGTCAACAGGCTAAGCCCCTCCTAAGAAGACGTTTCGCACCCTGCCCGGGCAAAATCATCAAGCCATGCTCGGATCGCCTGGGTGAGAATGTTACTAATCAACCGGTCAGACAAACTTCCGTCCGACTGCTCGGTGGTCTGACCTCCGCACACGAAACCCGGTCAACTTCAAAGAGAACGACGTTTCGCAACCCGCGCCAGCCGGTGCAGACCCATCCTTTCCTTCCGAAGGCAGGACGCTCAAATCCCATCATGCAAAACACAAGTCCCAAGTGGGATACATATAGTACACGTGCCTTTCCCTTGATGCACCCAGCGCTTCCTACCCATAACTCACAATTTTCTCTCAGGACAATGAGTGTCACTCCCCCTACTTCCATACACAGTGGTTGGTTCCTTCTCGTGAGAATCTTCAAAGGTGAGCTAGTTTTCTTTGGAGTCTAGCAACTCCCTTCATTCCCTTTCTCTTCATTTGTCTGTCCTTTCATAGGGAGGGGTTGTTCCTTCTTGATGACCCGTTGTGTTCATGTTGGTTCGTTCAAGCATTTCAAAGTGTATAGTGCATGAGCCCGTTGGGCTCGAAGAAGGAGATAGAAGGGCACCCACTCGGTCGGAT